ATTTGCCTTCCTTCATTATATAGCCAAAAGAGGGATTTATGGATTTAAAACACTTGGCCAGCTGAAAACCTCTGGCTACAGTGTTACCTTAATCTGCTCATCAGAGTGCTTGCAAAGAAGCCCAGCACAAACAGGTGCCAGGAATAAATTGATTTGGGAAACTTCATTTAAGAGAGCCCAGTATTTTTAGGACAGTGACTTTATCATGCTTCTGATGGTCATGTCAATAGCATACTACTTCCTCTAGGAGGTGCTGTTTGCATTGTATTCCATGATTATTGCCCACCGTTGTACTGAGACGAAGTAAACTAGAATTTATTATAAGTGGGTTGGCTAGTGGAATTGGTGAAAGCTTTATGAAGTACTGAGATGTATTCTAGGCCTCTTGCTTCCCATTTTTGTTGCCACTTTCAATAGTGTGAAATTCAGTGCAATTTGTGTAGAAGATCTCTTAGCACGGAAAATACAATATTACTAATGCTAATTACAAATATATGTCAGGTATGCTTATAAATACTTTTATGTGTTTTCCCTAATTTAATTGTCCTAATAATCCAGTAAGGTACTGTCTCCATTTAACAGATGAAGAAACCCAGAACAAAGTTAACTTGCTTAACAACATGACAATTAGTTAGCTGGGCCCAGGCAATTTTGGCTTCGCTTGGAATGCAAAAGTAGAAAATGAGAGAGTAGTGCCTTTCCCCCTATTTAACCAATTTTGTCATTTTGAGAATCTGATAATATAATTTAAAAACAAGAATAATGTGTTTTCAGCTGGGTGCTGTGGCGCACACCTGTAATCCCAGTGGCTTAGAAAGCTGAGGCAGGAAGATAACAACTTCAAATCCAGTCTCAGCAATTTATTTAGGCCCTAAGGAACTCGGTGAGATCCTATCCCTAAATAAATACAAATAGGGCTGGGGATGTGGCTCAGTGGTGGAGTGCCCCTGAGTTCAATCCCCACACCCTCCGCCCCTGAAAAAAAAAAAAAAAAGAATGTGGTTTCATTTATACCTGTGACTGGAGAAGGGTGTCAATAAACTTTTCTGAAAGAGGCCTGATAGTATTATTTTAGGCTTTTGTGGACCATAAGATCCTGTTGCAAAAACTCAGTTAACTCGGCGGTTACAGAGTTTTAAAGTTGGAGGCAAAGTTTAGAACAGCTTCTTCATATTATATACACAGGCCTTCCACAAATGGCCATAAATCTTCTCAAAAGATGGAGGACATTTCCAATTGGCCAAATGTAGTGTGTTACTTGGGTTTCTGTCTTTGGAAGAATGAAGTGCAGCCCCCACCCCTATCCCTACCCCATGACCCGCTAAGGATTCCACCTGCCAATCAGCTAACCTCTCCATCTGCATTCAGCTAACGGGCCCACCCGTCATTCAGTTAACCGTTCCACCTGTCATTCCAGATTGCCTTCCAGGACAGTTAAATTCTTTGTTCCTTGTGGTGGTGGGGACAAGGCTCCTAGAGACTGCGGCCTGCAGCAGGTCATTGCAGAGTTGCGGGGAGAGGAGCAAGGTCCTTCCGGGCCTGGGCCCCGCCCCTGGGGCCAGAACCCAGGCTCAATTTTTACCTCCTTCTTCCAGAGCTAACATTTATACACCTTAATGATTTCAAAATCAATAACGACAATGTCTTCTGCATATAATGTTTTCAAACCTATCTTGAATTTATTAAGGTATTTTTTGTTCACTTCTCTCTTTTAGGTAATGTCCTTCAACATTGCAACATTTGAATATCTAAAAGCTTACCTTCTTAGGGCACTTCTATTTTGATTTTTTAATGAACTTCCATACTTCTTTGCACTATGGCTCTACTAATTTCTGATGCTTTGAGCAGTGAAATGAGGGTTTTAAAAAAATTTGTAAATTTGATATTTGAAAATTCTATCATTTTTCTAGTAAAAGGGCATTACGTTGATTCTCTTACCTCTTGAATCCTGGCTGATGATCTAAAACCAGGCAATACACCATTATATGACCCCACATTATGAATATCAAATCAGTTTTGGGGGGTTATAGTCTTATGAGGTAGAATTAATGTACCATGTATTTCAGTCATTTAAAGCACACAAATAGGTAGCTTTTACTACATTAAAGTTATGCAATCAATCACACCACAAGTTTAGAACATTTTTATCATCCTAAACAGAAACCCCATACCCTTTAGTCTTTCCCTTCCTGCTCAGCCTTAGAAAACTACTTGATCTTTATAGATTTGCCTATTCTGGGCATTTCATACCAGTGGAATTTCACAACATGTGGTCTGGCTTCTTAGCATCATGATTTCAAGTTTCTGTCATAGCAGGTATCTGTGCTTAATTTCTTATTGCTGAGTAATATTCTATTATATGGATGTTTGATACTTTTTTCATCCATCTATATTAATGAACCTTTGGGTTATTTCCATGGAGCTATTATTAATAATGCCTCTATGGCTTATGCATGTATAAGTTTGTATATTTGCATATGTTTTTATTTCATTTGGCTGGATACTAATGATAGATTGGCTGAGTCCTCTGGTAACTCTGCCAGTGTCAGTCTATTTCAAGTAACCACACCATTGTAGATTTCATCAGCGCTGTGCAAAGGTTATAATTTTTCTAACTCCTTGCCAATACCTATTTCTCATCTTTTTGATTGAAGAGGGTTCCAAATTGGTGATGCGGAGTGGTACCTCATGGTGGTTTTCATTTGCGTTTCCCTAATGACAAAGGGGATGGTGTTGAGCACATGTCTTTTATGTGCTTATTAGCCATTTTTATGTCTTCTTGAGAAAAATATCTACTTAAATCCTTTATCCATTTTAAAATTGGGATATCATTTTATTTTTTAATTTAAGAGTTCTAAATATGCTCTAGATATAAATATCTTTATCAGATACATGATTTTCAAATATTTTCTGCTTCTCAGGCTTGCCTTTTCACTTTGCTTTTTTGGGGGGGTGAGGGTGGGGGTAGGGGTGGTGAGCGGTTACCCAGGATTGAACTCAGGAGCACTCAGCCCACTAAGCTACATCCACCAGCCCTATTTTGTATTTTATTTAGAAACAGCGTGTCAAAGAGTTGCTTAGGACCTCGCTTTTGCTGATGCTGCCTTTGAACTCTCTATCCTCCTGCCTCAACCTCCTGAGCCATTGGAATTACAGGCATGTGCCACCATGCCAGCTGCCTCTTCACTTTCTTAATGCTCTCTTTCAAGCTCAGTTGTATTTATTTTTGATGTTATCTGGGTTTTTTTTTTCATTTTATTTTGTTTTGGGGGGTGTTGTTTCAAAGAAACAATGGCCAAATCCAGTCATGAAGGTTTGTGTCTACATTTTTCTTCTAGGAGTTGTATAGTTTTTACATGTAGCTGTTACAATTTGAGTTAATTTTTATATGTGGTATTTGATGGGAGTTCAACTTTATTCTATTTTTTCATATTGATAAAAAAGTTGTCCCAGCACCATTTTTTTTGTTGAAAAGTCTATTTTTCCCCCACTTAACTCTTTTGTCACACTTGTTGTGCAGTTTTTGTTTTGGGACTTTGCTCTCTAATATGACAATCTGCATGTCCATCCCTATGCCAGTGCCAAATGAAATTGAGTTCTTTTTTCCAGTGGTATTGCTCATCGCCAGTTGTCTTATGTGATAATAAAAAGTCAGTGTAGTGGGATGGTTAACTTCAGTCCTGTGGACAATTTTGCTGATTGAAGGAGCCTGTGATGGAGTTTCTGGCTGTTTTCAAAACATGGTCGGAAGTCAGGCTTGTAAAGACAGTCATTCCCTTTTATCTTTCAAATCTTTAATCTCTCACCCAGTGCTTCCCTCCTCACTTCCATTTCCACAAATCATGGAAATTGTTTACTGCATTATGGTGGTTAACTCATAATAATTCATAGAACCTTCTGTAAATTTTTACCAACTAGAAAGGAGAAAATCATGTCTGAACTGTCACCATTCCTCTTTGGAAATCAAGCTAATTTTTTCATCTTAGCTTGCAGTAAGACCTGGGATCTGGTACTTGTGCATAATCCTGGAGTTGGTCTTTTTCTTGGCACTGATTGTACCTTCCCAGAAGTCCTGGTTTCCTTGTATTCACCTCCTTTTCCTTCAACACATAGAGATGCATAGTTGTGCTTTACAGATCAATTACAGGATTCATTGGGCAAATATTTCAGCCCATCCAGACAAAAATATTTCAAGAGTACAGCCCTTAAAAATCAGGCATTTTTTGGAAAGCAGTATGGAGATTCCTTGGAAAGGTGGGAATGGAACTACCACTTGACCCAGCTCTTCCCTTTTTTGGACTATTCCCTAAAGACCTTAAAAGAGCATACTATAGGGATACTGCTACAACGATTGCAGCACAATTCACAATAGCTAGACTGTGGAACCAACCTAGATGCCCTTCAATAGATGAATGTATAAAAAAAAAATGTGGCATCTATACACAATGGAGTGTACTACTCAGCACTAAAAAATGACAAAATCATGGCATTTGCAGGGAAATGGATGGCACTAGAACAAATCATGCTAAGTGAAGCTAGCCAATCCCTAAAAAACAAATGCCAAATGTCTTTGATATAAGGAGAGAGCAACTAAAAACAGAACAGGGAGGAAGAGCATGAGAAGAAGATCACCATTAAACAGGGACGAGACAGGGGAGGGAAAGAGAGAGAGAAGGGAAATTGCATGGAAATGGAGGGAGACCCTCATTGTTATACAAAATTACATATAAGAGGAAGTGAGGGGAAAGGGGAAAAAAACAAGAGAGAGAAATAAATTACAGTAGATGGGGTAGAGAGAGAAGATGGGAGGAGAGGGGAGGGGGGATAGTAGAGGATGGGAAAGGCAGCAGAATACAATATGTAAAAAAGTGGATGTGTAACCGATGTGAATCTGCAATATGTATACGGAGTAAAAATGGGAGTTCATAATCCGCTTGAATCAAATGTATGAAATATGATATGTCAAGAGCTTTGTAATGTTTTGAACAACTAATAATAAATATTTTTTTTAAAAAAATCAGGCATTGTTCAGGCAATTTATCAAAGACAAATAATAGAGTAGTCATTTAAATTTCAAATGTGAAAGCCATTTGCATGATATGGAGAGGCTTTGTGGAGAAGCTTAAAACTGAGGACCAGCATGAAGAAATTGTTTTCAGTTTTTTCACTTTTTTTGAAGGTCACTACCTTTCTTTTACTACTGAGAAGTTTAGATAGAGATCATTCCATAGTGTTCCCCTCACTGAGGAAAGTGAACATTTAATACTTGGTTGTTGAACAGATACTCAAAAGTTGCCTCCCATCTTTAGCTTCAGCTAGTTGAAATCAGGTAAAACATCCAATTAGACGTCAAATTGTATATTTCCTTGCTTCTCGTTTTTTTTTCCATATTCCCTAACTTGAGGGAATAGTGACACAGTGTAGAACCAGCACAGTTTGTCCCCTTCCCTCTGGGAAAAAAAAAAAAAACCCAAACTCATTCCCATTCACCTGCCTCAAGTGGCAGTTATTAGGGCGTGACGCTCGGGCCTGAAGTGCAATGTCCTACTACCTTTATCAGATCCAGATGGGGATGAGGTACCTGGAATGTGGCTTTCTCTCAATATAGACTTCAAACTCAAGAGGCAAGGCATCTCCAACTCACACACCCAGCATTCTGCTAAACTGCTGAAACCCCTCCCCTTCAACAGAGGGGAAGGCAGCTCTGGTGCACGGCTGCCTCTTCTAGGATTAGAATTTGGGCTAAGAAGGGGATGCCTCTCCCATATGTTATCTGGGTTCTGTGTCCTATTCTTGTCACAAGCAACAGCTTGTATTTGCATCTGAGTAGTTTTCTCAGCTGGCAGGATTCCTCCCTGTAGAACTTTCCAAGATTCAAAAGCTCCTTTCATTTTTATCTCTTGGATTTTTTTTTTTAATCCAACCAAGTAGTGTTTTTGCTACTATGTTTCTCTTTAAGAAGTCTGAGTCTTTTGTGAATTTTATTGGGGTTCATGCAAAAAAAAATCACTTTCACAAAACTTTTTTGAGATCAGATCTTTAACTCATTCTTGCAAAGCTCTACTAGGACAATGATTTTAAGATTTTTGTACTCTTAAAATCCTTAAGGAAATTTAAGGCCCCACTGTAGATCTTTCTAAAGTCTTAGCAAAGGGTTTTATAGTTAGGATCTTGACTTCTTTAGAGTGTTCCCAGCAGCAACCTGAATTTGATTTTATCCTAGAAGTCATGTATTTTAGCATTGTCAATTTTGCATGTGGGACCTCTAAAGAAGGGAAACAGATATTTGAACCCAGTTAAGTCCTGGGTTTTTTTTTGTTTTTGTTTTTGTGAGCTTCTTCTGTGTGTTTAGTAGTCTTTGTTTAGCTTAGCTCTCATGTCAGTTTTACTTTTAGTTACTGTATGCCAAAAGGCCCCTTTCCTCTGGGGCCTTTCATGTGTGCCTTGAAGGTCCTTTCTGTAAAATCTCTTTAAGGGTCACATGGCTTCCTCTTACAGCCCCTTTGAAATCTTTTTGGCTTTCCTTGTTCTTAAGTCCTTCCTGCTTCCTCTTACTTCTGGGTCCAAAGGCATTCTACATTTTTTTTAATGACAACTAATATTTAGTATCAGTATCAGTGTTCGTAATTGATGTCTAATAAACCACCTCAAACAATGAACATTTCAAGGCAACATGTATTCTGTTCATATCAGTAGTTTTGGCAAGACTCGGTGAGACCAGCTCAGTTCTTCCCATTGGCATCAGCTGGGGTGACTAGAACTGGGAACCAGAATCACCTGAAGTCTCATTTATTCACATGTCAGATAGTTGAAACTGACTTTGGACTGAGCCGTTAGCAGAACCCGCAAGTAGACTATTGAGCAGGAAGACTCATCATGTGGCTTGGGCTTCCACACCAAAAGGTGACTGAATTCTAAGGGCAAGCTTCCCTAGAGAAAGTTGGGTGGCAGCTATATCCCATTTGCTAGTTAACCTTCAAATCACACAGCAGTTGCATGACCTTCTATTCACTAGAAAACATCCACTAAAGCCAGAATACAGGAGAGAGGGGAAAAAGTCAATGTGTAGACAGGTCTTCAAACCACCAGTCTACATAATCATTATATCTAGAGGACAGTAGTTCTTCCCAACTCAGTACCAGTGAAATCCCACCATATTTTTAATGGTATTATTGTTGTTTAGCATGTTTCTTTATTTTGTGGAAAGAATAAGAATAAGAAGACAATGCTCTTGAACTCTTTTGTTCAAAAAGATGTATTCATCACACCACTAAATTTTTATACTGGGAGATGTCATCAGTCCTTATGAAGAATCATTACTTCTTGGATTGCAATTCCAATTAACACAAAACATTTGCAGTTCAGAAAAGGGTTTAGGATATTGAATTTCTTAACTAGAATCTTATTTTCAAAGTCTCATTCTGGGAGCCATTTTTGACACAGGCCTAAATAACTCAATATGACATCCCTAAAACATCTTTAAAAATTAAGGAGAGAAAATATGACAGGAAGGGGAAAAAGACCTTCTACTACTAAGAGGTGACTCTTTTTAAGAGGAAAGTCATGAGGCAGTCATAGAAAAATAAAAGTCTAAGATCAAGTAAAAATGTTTTGTGACAAAGATGATAAATGTAAGGAATATGTTTTGCTGACTAATGGATGTTTTAACTTCTGTTGATTTTCTGAGAAATTCAAGGGAACACATTCTCAGAATCTACTAAAGATATTTTATTGCAACTGAATTTAACTCAGATTTGTTACTGGTTTTGTGTTAGTCTATTCTTAGTCTCCTTCCTTCATTACCAAACTATATTATGCTTATTCAGACAGACTGATGACATTACAGCAAAACTGGAAACTATCTTCAAAATGTCTACATTTGGAGGGGGGAAAAACCTGTTTATTCAGCAGGAGTTATAATCTACATTTGGAGGGGAAAAAAAACCATGTTTATTCAGCAGGAGTTATCTGTATAACCTTTACAAAAGAATGAGATGGGAAGGATATAGCATCATTAAAACAACATTAAAACAACTCTATTTTAACAGGTTAATTTATCTGCAATATACTTTAATACACTACACTGCTAATACACACTACACTGCTAAATATATTTTGGATGTATACATTGTCTTTTCTCTACCTTCCAATTTGTTTTGTAGATATCTAGAAGATGACATCTGATTCTCCCTTGAAATAATTTCAGTGTTCACCATCATTATAACTAATTGATGTTTCATGGAAACAATTTCCATTCAAGAACCAATTGAGTTTTCAGACTAGTTGGCATAAAATAAGACTTAGGAGGAAAAGGAAAAAAAAATGTGATGTAGAAATATAACAACTCTTGAATAGTTTGAATTGATTCTATTATTTTTTTAATCAACTGAACCATTCATAGCTGAGGAATGGAGCTCAGTGGTAAAGCACTTGCCTAACATGAACAAGGACCCGAGGTTGATCCCAAGCATCGCACAATAACTAAAACAAAAAGACAACACAAGAATGATTTAAAACATTTTATTGCACACATTTAATGCATTTGATATGAATGACAAATGTTTTAAACTTCAGCATCTTTTTCCCATATTTAAAATTGCAGTCTGAATGATGGACTCAAAACTAAAGAAGACCAACAGCATAACAATTGTGTTACGATTATTTTTAACATATATCGTTTAAATTTGCTTGACACAAGTTGGAGCTAAGGAAAGTTTAGAGAAGTTAACAGAGAATCACAATCCTTCAATAAAAAGTCAGACAGAACTCAGAATTTAAGATCTGGAATCTGAACTCTGTAAAACAAACACTCAAGAAAATGATAAACAGAACTGAAAAAATACAAGCAAATCTACTATCTAGGAGAATTCAGAATTAGAAAATCATTGTCAGATGTACTAAAACAAGTAATGGAAAGATAAGATCAGAAGATAAATTAAGGTCTGTGGGGTTTATTCCATCTCCACAAATTAGAAGAGTTATCATTGGCCATAAAGGAAAGGAATGGTGACTCTTCTTTTTTATTGAAATCTCTCATAACTTCAGGTTAACAGAATTGATCGGATCATAATCTGTGTTTCTAAAGAATAATATTTAGTGAGATAAGTCCATGGTATCACTGGGAAACAAAAGGTAACTGTTAGGTCAGTGGTGGTGACTTGGTGGTGGTGATGGTGGGGAGGGAGGAAGGAACATCAATCAGATGCCGGCGGAAACCCCTGTCAATCAGTGAGATCTCCTGACTAACGCCTGTCAATCAGCAGGACCCCCTGGCCAATCCTGGAGTTCAGTCAACTCCCCTGACCAACTCCAAAAAGGGACAAGGGACCCTAAAATCACCTTTTTCTGTCCCAAGTCTTTCCCTTCCTGCTATAAGCCCCATAAAAGTCCAATCCGGTTGAGCTTCCACATGGTTTTCCCTCAGACCCTGCTCCTGACCCCTTTGTGGGTCTGATCAAGTTCTGCCCGGGAGTGATATCTCAATAAAGCCTGTTCAGCGGCCCTTTTAAATCTGCCTCCTTTAGTCGCTGCCCGCCTTGCCCGATCTCACAGTAACTAGATAAGAAAATTTTGGAAAACAATGTAAATGAATAAACTTGACTTCAAAATATTAATACTTCTTACCTTGTTTTATGGTTTTATGAGTTCCCCTCTCTTAATATTCTTATTTAGCTTAACTGATCTATTAGGGTTACAGCTAAGTACTTCAGCTTTATAATTAAGACAGTGATATTGTTACCCAATTGCTCATCAACATTCCCTCAAATAAATGTATCAACAAGTGTGACCACTTGTGAAAGATTATAACTGAAACCCGAGTTGGGTTCTGATAACCTCCTCTGGGTGCATTCGGGCACGTGGTCAGTTAATTTTCCTTGTTGGCCATCTTTCGTGTTCTCCCTAGAGGGTCCCTGGAGACACTCTGTCCTTTAGAGCTGTTGGAGTCTACATAAAGGCATACCTGTGACGTAGGGGATGGTTAACACAGGACAAAGGGGAGAAAAATTCACAAATGTGGTTTAAACATATCCCTTGGCCAGTGCGAGGGTCCGAGTGGAAGAAACAAAGGGGCGGTCCCACTTTTGATGCCTTGCTAAGGATGTTAGAGCTAATTGCCTTCCAGGCTGCTTCAATTGTTCAGTTCTTCTGGTCACCAGCTCAGTTACCTGGTTCTCCCTTAGAGGGCGCTGCTCTGAAGTATCCTGAGGACCAAATGCTGGCTCAATTTCCCCCAGCTAAAGTGTGGCATGTGCAGATGGTGAGAGCACATGCTTGTCAATGCCTTTGAGGGATGTTTCATAAAATCCTTGTTTTTATAAGTACAAATATTCCTAGATTTTTTTCAGTTTTATTTTAATTGCATATTGTGGGAGGCTATCATCGCAGGTGATTTGAGTTACCTCCCTGGCTGGATGAGAGGCACTTAGGCACATCTTTTTTGTCCAGAGCTTTCCCCAACCTTCTCAGGTCTGAGGGCTTGTCTGCATGGAAGCCTGTCTTGGCCACTACCCGGAAGACCCAACTGTCGCACCTGACCTTGGGACCCTGCCCCCCTTCATCTTCATTGGAGGGGATTTTCTTCAGAATTTTTTGTTCCCCAATAAAAGTCCACTCCCTGGTGTGTTCTCTCTTTCGCTGATCTCTTCAGTAAACCTCACTACTCTAATAGGTGGCTGAAGGCTGGAGCTAGGAGAAGCCGTCCTGGAGCTGGTTTAAAGGTAATTAGAGTCTTGTCTCTTTAATTCAAAACTCCCTAGAGATTTCTCAGGTACTGAACCTTCATTAATGAAGCCTGTGCTGGCCACCGGGCTAAAGCATATATTAAAAAAGTACATTTTAATATATTTATACAAAGTGACATGGCCACTGTAGTGACACTAACAAACCTTTCATCTCATAGTTACCCTTTCTAATGGCATCAATATCTCTTACTTTGAGTGACTAGGAATTAACCTAGAAAAGAATGGACTTATTTAGAACAATTTTAAACATATAATTGTGTCTAGTAGGTATGTTCTGACATTTTCAGTGTGAAGGCACTGCTTGATGGGAATTTCCATCTTCTCTTTGGAGAAGTTTTGTTTTGTTTAATGCAAATCATTTAGATGTAATTGAAGGGAAAATGAGAAACTTTCTCTTTTCCAATCTTCACAGGTCTAAGTAGAAACTAAAGGACTTCGATACCAATGTTGCATAGAGAAATTGCAGAATAAATCTTTAGGACAGACCTAGAGTGCCCTTGTGTTGGAAATCTTAATAATGGTTTGGACTCAACAAGAGTTTTATTCCACAAGAAAACATACTCATAGCCTTGAAATGACAGTGTGCAGAACTATCTAACCAAGGTAGGCTTTTTCCTTTGATTTTCACATTTATGATATAATTCTTTTTTTTGATTTGGTGATATAATGAACTGTTTAGTTGATTTATGTATGTTAAACAAAGGTCACAATAATCTGTATTCAGAAGAAAAACAAATCTTAACAATTTTTTTTAAAGTCCAGGAAGTTCTCATTCTCAAGAGATATTCATCAGTTAACTTGATTCAATAAATGTAACTATAAACTGATACACTTTTTTAAAAAGCTGAATTTCAATTAGATTTTAGAAAATGGTTATCCACTGTATCTAAAGGTATACTTTGAGATGCTTTGGCTTACTTTATAATTGATGTTAGTTGGGTGGTGTTCATAACATTTTTTAACAAGTTTGCCATCACTAATGATAAGAGAAAGATCCAAACACTGAATAACATGTGGATGTTTTTACTTTAAAGGAATTTCAGATAAATACCATTTTTATTATTATTATTTTTTTTTTTTTTGGCAATACTTGGGATTGAACTTAGGGGCACTTAACTGCTGAGCTACATCTCCAGCCCTTTTTATCTTTTATTTTGAGAGAGGGTCTCACTAAGTTGCTGAGGCTGGCCTTGAACTTGTGATCCTCCTGTCTCAGTTTTCTGAGTCACTAGAATTATGGGAATGCACCACTATGACCAGATGAGATAAATACTATTATGAATGAAATAAATTCATAACACTAAAAATATTAATTTAAAAAACTGCCATTTTCTTAAATAAGATTATATCCTTAATTGCTATTTCACTTACAAAATCTTTTGTCTCAATTATTGTAAAATGCTTATTGCTATTATAATTGTTTTAAGTAGTTATTTAAGATATATTTAAATTTTAGATCTTCTTGTGAAGATCTAAGATTTAGAAAATTTTAGAATGAAATTCACTCATGTCTACTCTGCTTCACTAGAATGACTGAAGGCTAAGATCGTAGTGATTTCAACAGTCTTTTAAAGCAACTACCATCAAACAGAGTCAATTAATTCTTCCTATCCAGAATCTCATGTAAAATTGCACAGTGTCCTTGCCTCCTCTGGAGATGTAACCAGAACCTTCCAATCCAACCTTGTGATCTCATTCATAGTAAAAATCCATTTTGGGGAATCTAAATATGGTTCCAAAAATGAAAAGCTGTATCAATTTCAAAATCGGAAAAAAAGTGTCAATTATATTTGACCTACTTTAATACATAAGCCTAAATTTAAGCACTTATTGACCAGGGGGAAATTATAATCTTTTGAATCAAATATAAATAAATAGCAGTTTTCATTTTGTATCATTGTTATTAAAATATTCATTTTCAGTGAGGCTGCATTGGTTTACTTTGATGGAGTTTTCGTGAGGTAGCATCAGCCTGTCACATAAGGCCTTAACCTCCTGTCTTCACTTGGCTTCATGTCCTAGCCAAATTATAGAAGACTGTGTCTGATATTTCTTAGATAGCATTGCAGTCAACTAACTGAAAAGGAAACAAATAGACTGTTTTAATATTGAAAATTTTAAGATCTTACCTAGCTGAAATTTTGTCATCTTTTGTTAGCTGTTTAATCTTTTTCTGAAAACATGAGAGGCTCAGTGTCATAAAATTGGACAACTGTGTACAAAATGAGATGGAATGTCAAGCAGTAGCTGTGAATTGTTAGGAATAGTACAGGTACAAAATGTTCTCCTTGGTGCTTACCAGAAAAATCAGGCAATATGTCAGTTCACAAAAGAATGAGGGATGAGTGTGTGAATACAGATACCATGCAAGGAAGATTTGGGGAAAAATATTTGCCCTATTTTTTTTCCAGGAGGAAGTAATGAGTATTTTTAGTATTTCTAGATTAAAGAATGTTTTGCTTATTTTTAACTTGATCTTGTTGTTCGTAGGTGTCCACGGTTTCCTTGTGGGCATTAGTTTGCCAAATGATGCTTGACTTAATAAGAAAGATCAGAAAGTGCTTTTCCTATGAAAATACAAATGCTTGTCTCGATAATCACAGCTGAACACCTTGAAAGAGTTTTTTTGCAATTGTGATTCACAAAGTTCTCAAGAGTTAAAGAAAGTGCTTTATAGAGTTGGTAGGAATTTGATTATTTCTGCTAGGAAAACAATAACTTAAGATGTGATAATATACTGTCTAAAATAATAGGAAAGGGTGAGATTGGAGATGAGGTGTTACAAAATGCCATAATTGTAAAGATTTTTAGCCATGATTCCAGAGAGTGAAGTGTTCAAACTAGCATTAATAGTGAATTTGTTAACCATCTCTTTTTTATTTGTGAGGTTTTAACATTTGGGGGGCTGTTTCTGTTGTAAACTTCTATCTTACTGTCATTTTTTTCTAACTTTAAGGATGATAATTATAATAAATTATTGCTCTAGTCTGTGATTCAGTTCTCCCAGTGGTTGAAGCAAATTTTCTCCATTTTCATAGCATTAAACATTTATGGCATCTCTCACCATTACATGACATTCAGCCTTTCCCTGCAGCACACTGTAGTGATAATAGACTACTCTATACATATGTTTTGACCACTTCTACTCTCATATTCTAGTTTAAATCTTGGATGCTTTGTTGTTCTAAATACCAGAAGTGATTACATAGTTTTATTGGTTCCTTTTTTTATTTTTTCTTTTAAAATACAAAAGCTAAAATTATCCTGGATGGTTACATCAGTACTTTGATTTTTTCAAAGTAAATTTTTTCACATAAAATTCTTTTGATATCTGAAATCTTTTTTGGGAGTTGGGAATTGAACTGAAAGCGTCTGGCTTGCTAAGCATATGCTTTACCTTTGAGCTTCAGCCCCTCTCCTGATAATTGAAATCTTAAAAATGTGTGTGAATTTTATAAAAGATAAAACTTAACTGGTTTGAATTTTAGGTTTAATTGTTGCTTAATGCTTGTATGTCTAACACAATGTGTGACAAACCAAGAGTCACTCTACAAATGTCATAAATACTTTTTCCTTTTCTTGCCATGCTGGGGATAGAACCCAGGCCTCCTGCATGCTAGTCCACGGTGGCTCATGTCTGTCATCTCAGCTACTTGGGAAGTTGATGCAGAAGGATCACAAGTTCGAATTCAGCATTGGCAATTTAGAAAGATCCTTTCTCCAAGAAATAAACCAGACTAGGCATGTTGCTCAGTGGCCGAAAGCCCCTGGGTTCATTCTCCCATATGGGGGGAAAAAAAGCATTTCAAACTATTCTTAGGGAAGCACTGGTCCTAATAATCTAGTTTACCATTTCCAGAAAAGGATTTACTGAGTTTATCTCATTCTGTTGCCTTTTTAGATCTTCTGAACCCCAAGTGTTGTTGCAAAACATCGTGTTTGTACAGTACTGGAATCTAGCGTCTGAGTAAATAAAAGAATCCTGGTGATTAAGAAGTCTCTCCACCCCTCTGTATTTCAGAAAATGGCATATGCATGATATCACCTCTACTTAAATGAAAGTCTGTTCCTTGTGGCTCTCAGAAGACTCAGTTTTAGGCTCCTGACACCTGACAGGCCAGGGCTACTTTTTCAGTTTTCATTCTCAGCATGAGGAAACTCTGGATGCAGAAAAGCAGTTATCAGGAAGTTGCTTTTAATTCTAATGGGGCTCTGTTTCTGTAGCAGAAACTTACCAGGTAGCAGAATGGTTTTTCATTATTATCTTTCAAGAATGCATGTCTTTAGGAAGAGACTGAAGTGAGAAGTTAAAAACATGAGAACTGCAAAAGTACTCAAGAACATAGAAATTTTATTAGGATAATAAATCAACATGTGAAGAGCCAGATCAAAAAAGGAACTTTGTATTTTTCAACACAATGGATTACAAGATAAGAATATTTAACTGCAGATGTGCCTTAAAACAAGAATATGAGAAGAAATGTCGTATGGCTTTATGAAAAATTAAGGGACAGGTAACAAAGAAGAGCAAGGTAAGGAATTTGAAGTAAAATGATGACTTAAAATCTGTTTTAAGACATTGTAAATGGATTTAAGCCAGACATTATTTAATCATGGGTTAAAAAATTTCACATATCTAAATTTGTCATCAATATTATAATAACCCTTTGATTTGATATATAATTAATGTGTGATTATGGTGATGTGATCTGAGAAACGTGTTGGCAGTCTCATCCTTGTGTAAACATTATGTGTACTTACACAAACTACACTTAATATCACATCAGGAGGCAATATAATCTCATACGGCCGCCATTATATATACAGTTCATTGTTGACCAAACATTGCTAAGTGGTACATGATTGTATTATTTTGATTGAAATAAAATGTTATTTCAACAGGGCATGGTGGCACATGCCTGTAAACCCAGACGCTGGAGAGGCTGAGACAGGAGGATTTCAGGTTCAAATCTAGGCAACTTGGTGAGAACCCTGTCTCAAATATAAAATTAAAAGGTACTTCATGGAAGAGTGCCCCTGGGTTCAATCCCCAGTGTCTGTCAGTCTGTCTGTCTGTCTCTGTCTGTTTCTCTCTCTCTCTCTCTCTCTCTCTCTCACACACACACACACACACACACACACACACACAGCAGATCTATCCCTAAAAATAAATTACACTATCTATAGCTAAAATTATTTAT